ATGGATTATACATACCTAAAATTCTTGAACATGCTAAAACAGGACTAGACTATCTCTAAGATCTAACACCCTTCTAATCCATAGCAATATAAATTCCAATACAACGTATGATAGCATAGATCACAAAAAATTGAATAAAATTAAATATAATAGAACATTAAAGGTAAAATAGAGCAAAAAAAAATAGAATTGAATTTAACAAAAAAGTGCAAAACTAAACTTTACTAAGAGAAAGGAATCAAAGTCATACCTGGCTAAATATCCAAATGGCCTTGGCCAATCCTATTTATATTTCATCCAACTATCTTAGAACTTTTTAGAATGTTTCTAATAGTGGATCCTACCTAGATAGCTGTTCTAAGCTCCTTCTATAATGTTCCATGGTAGATCCCATATAATCCACCAACTTAGTTTTAATTTTAGAAACTTCTAAAAACTTTTAGAAACCTTCTAAATATGTTTCAAACTACTTATCTCTGTGCATCAATAATACAAATATCTTAATCATATTCCATTATAGTTAATTTTTCTCCACTAATATAAAATATCTTTATTTTTCTTCTGATGGTATTTCTAAATTATTTCTTAATAATGAGTGAGGTTTTGAGCAAGTTTTCCCATTATATCATAGATAGAATAACCTTTTTAGAAGACTTTGTATTGAAGTTGTAGATGTCCATTATTACGGCAAAGATAGCAATGCTCCAAAATATTGACTACTTCATACTTTAATTAATCATCAATCACAACTAATAGTGGTGGTAGTGCTTAGTGTCAGTCTAGAAAGCATATTGGCTTAGTACGAAATTCCTTGAGTTGCAAAACATAAAAGATCAGATGTACTTGAATATGTGGCAGAAATTCAAGGCATTATACAACATTAGAAATCACTACAACAATGCGGAAAGGTTGAAGTCACCAAAGTGCTAGCTTACAAATTTGGGTTGATGTAACAAATAGAAATATCCTCTCATTTCTAAACCTAGAAAATATCAAAGTAGAGTATTATGAAGATAGGAGAGTTAAATGGTATGTTTTTATAATGAAGTTGTATATGCATAGAATTTAGACATTACTTTAGAAGTAGGATTTTATTTATGAATAATCAATTGTTTCAATAAAAAACCATGATTTCAAATAAAATATTTGAGATTTTAAGATATCTTATGACATCAAGAAGATCCACTAAAAGGATCCACTTAGAAGATCAAATGGATGTTGAAGTGATGTATAGGATTTGTGGAGTATTGGTGGTAATAAAAGACAACATACAATATATTAAAAACTTTTTTATTTTAGAATAATCAATAATCATTTGGAAGTGTGATCAAAAAGCTTAGATGCATGCCAATCATTGATAGAAAAGTTTATTTTTTAATACAATATGAAAAAGCAACCACATGTTTAAGTCTTAAAAATATTAAAATATATTATTTGTTAATATTATTGACTTAATATTTGATAAGAGTTTATTAAAATTTAAGCAACATATACATGATTAAATGTAGTGCATATATTAAATGGATTTATATTGAAAACAATATGTGTCTAAAAAAAATGTCGTAATCAACTTTTTTGGCAAATTGAACAAATTTTTTAAATAAAAAAACATATTTTAAAAATAAAATAATACAGAAAATGGAATAGCAGCATAGGAGATGATAGTAAAATAAATGGAAGGCTTGTATAATTTTAGTTAAGACTAGAAAGATGGTTTATAAGTTATGCTAAATTATTTTTGCATGAGAATCTTAGAATAAGCCTTAATATAAATCCTATCAAAATTTATGGTGCAATTTTTGAAGATTATGCAATGAATATTAAAGAATAAATAATAGACATGTATGTAAAGAAAATTTTATATGTTTTTTGAAATTATAATTAATTAATAAATGTGAAACCCACCTCCTCCCCACCCCTCACCTCTGCTTTCTAAACAACAGACCTAAAATCCCAACATATTCTGTGGATGAACTTACATAGATGAGACATGTCCTTCCTACTCGGTATCCTTTTAAACCGTGCAATATACCGGGCCGGGTGGGTGAGGGCCATGGCATAATTTTACTAGCCTCAGAACATGGCTATGGCTCCTCAACACCTCCATTGCAAAGGAATTTGCGAGGTTCGTCGCTGTAGCTCCGCTTCTTACATCCTTTCTCTCGACTTCCTAGTGCTTCACTCCTGCTGGATCGTCTGGATTACCTCGCCTTCCGCCAAGTTGTTGGGAGTGAGCCGTGCCTTGAATTGCCTTTGTTGGACGAGAATTTTGATCCGAGAAACTAATAGTTTAAAAACCTCAAGAGTCTGAACTGGACACCACATCTTGCAAGTATAACATTTGTACTCCCCTGTTGGAAAAGATGAATCACCTTGATACACTCGGAGAATGAGGAAGCGGAGGATGCCCAAATGTAGCGCATCGATAGTTTTTCGTATTAGCTGTAATGTGCTTATCACCACAGCAGAAGTTTCCTCACTGCAACCGGGTACGAGATTCAGAACTATTTCAAATCTAGTGTTCTTGTATCATTTCAATGGTTCCTGTTGATTTTGTGTCGGGTTTTCTAATATGCTGATGTTGTTGTTTTTCGTTTCCTTCTTCTCAAGCTCAAGATTTGTTCCGTAATACGTCTAATGCAATTTCATGTGTTTCAGTCCTATTTGTTGAGATAACAAGAACATTGTATTGACCTTGTCTTGTTACGTTGAGGTGCATCTTTTCTTGCTGGAAACGATTTATTTTTATTTTTTATTTTCTCACTTTATTTACATTTATTTACAAGATGGGCAAGGAACTTGTTTCGAAAAATTCTTGCTCAATTCGTGTGCCCATGTGTTGTCATAAAAGCTATCCAGGTCCTGATGTGGGTTTTGTAGTAGCAGAGGTCACGTCTAGGATATTAAGGTACATAGAAAGTCTTGAATACCGGGAGACTTATACTCCTGTTTTTCGGGCATTTTGTTTCATGCTTTCATCCTTCAGAACCTACCATGCTTTTCTTTCGAACAGTTTGTATAATTGAGTTAAAGCGAGTGTGTCTGACAACCTTATTCTTTAGGCCTATTCGTCGAACCATATCTTTGAACAACTCATCCCATCTCCCTTTGCGTCGAGTGGGAGCTTAACTGATGCTGAAAATATCTCTCCACTTGCAGCAGCTGCCGAGTATGTAAGGGCCCAGGTCGACACTGCCTTTGGTAGCGCTAAAAATGACGCTTATGAGATTGATACAGATGAAGACTTCGTAACTGCGTTGGAATATGTGATGCCTCCAACTCCTGAAATGGTGAGAAGTTCGACTTAGAAATTAAGCAATTTCTACACCTTTTCCCTATTAAAATAGTGTAATCATCCGTTTCTTTTCCACGTGTCTTATCTGCTGGTAAAAGCTGTGTGTTGAATCCATTCTTGTGAGTGTTTTGGATCAGTTCTGGATCAGCAATGAAATCAGAAGAGTGAGGTTTTATAATTGGCTACATAAGTGGACAGCTGTACTGGATTGTAATTGCCAGGCCATTTATATCAATGCTAAATTGCATCTTGATCTGGAAGAAGACACTCACCATATTATAGTCTCGAACATTTTGGCAGTGGAAGGATGGGCAATACATAGCATCTGCATGGATGTGGTGGGTACGTTCAATATTCTGCAGGGAATCGGAATCATCCGTTTGGTGATGCTTTTGATTGATACTACAAGCATTCAGAGTGCAATCGCTTTTCCTGTGCTGAATTCTTAATTTTGATTTTTCCAATCTGAACGACAGGATTTCAATTTTGTCCTATTCAGTTTCTGAAACACAGATAAATTGAAAGTCACCGTATTGAGATAGGGAGAGCCTGTCCATAGCGATGGGTCCTGACACAGAAAGTAGTTTCAAACAAGGGTCAGTCGGCTTGGTTTTTAAGTGCAGAATACTTTGTTGATATTGGTGCCACCAACTAATACGAGACCATTCTTTGAGTAAGTGTTTTGTTTTACTTTTAAATGACGGCCCTTCCAGTGAAAGAAGACTCTGCATACTACTCTAAGTTATCTTCAAGAAATGAACTGCTTTATCGTTGTTCTAGGAACGACGCGTAATAATCATCACCACTTGTAGACAAAATAATAATTTTGAAATTGTTTCGTAAGGAAATCTAAACGAGAGCTCCGTGTCTTTTTATTCAATGTCTGGTTGAACAAAAGGGCACACAGAGGACTTGTTTGGATTCCTTCGTGAAGCAATCTCAATGGCATTGATATTGCAAAGTCGACGCAGTTACGAAGGGATAAGCAGAAGTCACTCGAGGATATGCATTAGGCCAGGTGTGGTTGCGTTGTGGTATCTCTGCTCAAGGTTTGGATCAATTTATGGAAAGTACACGTAAGGCTGTGGAGAAGGAGCCATCAGCCTTTCTATTTCAGCCGAGGTCGCTCCATACGCATGCAGTTAAATACTGTTCCTGGTCATCACGTCTGTTGAATACTAGTAAATGACAACTTGATGACTTCACGTTTAAAAGAAGTTTCCTTCCAGGAACGAGGAGTAGGCTTCGTTTTCAAACGTGGTCCCATTCAACACATGCGAAACCTTTTCAAATGGGACCACGTTTTCATAGACAATTGTATAATTTAGTCGAGGATACAAGGTTGAACTATTATGCTGTTTCCACTAACACTACAGGATCTAAGGACACGAAGCCAGGCCTCTCCATTTGAAAAGGTTTCGCACGTGTTGTGAATGCAACATGAATACAGTGCCTATGCACAACATATGTTTACCAACTCAAGTGCACTCCCTCCAATTTTCTACGCTTCGACACCTTCCTGGTAAACAATAGAAGTTTTCTCTGCGATCCAAGATAGCAGGTTAAAATTTGTGAAAACGTGGCCCAATTTGACAGATTTTCGTCGAGATTGGGCACCGTAATCGAGGGAAGACAACTTGAAACTATGTCGACTTATCCTTCAAGAAATTACCCTTCGCCATTTCCGCCGTTCTTTTTGCTAGCTGCATTGTCACTTTAACCCTGGTACAAGTATAAATATCGGCTTTCGACAGGGTTCAGATCATCACATCCAGCTCCATTGCTCTCTGACGCTTCCTACAACCCACGGTTCTGTGCCAGCAGCAGCACATACACTTTCTAAGATGACGTCTCTACACCAAGCCAGGTTTGCAGCACGATCAATTACCTTGTTGCATGGGCAAGGACACTCTTCTCTGATTCTAATAAAGCACGCTTCTTCTCTTACGCAATGAATCTCGTCGCATTCATATGACACTTGCTGAATGTGAGATGACTATATTCTCAATGCAGGTCCCCTAGGTTCGCAGCCCTGATCATACTCATCTTGGCGCTCGGTGCGCTGTCCTTCTTCGCTGCTCCTGCAGACGCTTGCGCTTGCACCAGTGGCAGAATGAAATCATCAGCCCCATGCTGGTACGGTGGCCCAGGATCAGGATCCCACGTAACAGTGCCACCAGGAGGCATCTATTCCATCGGCTGCCAAGCCGTGGGCAGAAGTGTGGGTGGCAACAACTACTGGAACAGAATCCATTATAACGGACAATGGTGCTACATAAACGACTACTACATGACCACCGGGTGCCCGACCAAGTGCAGCAACCTTGGTTGCTGCAACGGTTACAGTTGTTAGCCGGGGAATCTGAGCAATGATACCCACCGCAGCGCCTGAAACGTCGCTGCCCTTCAGTTCAAAAATCTTTGACTGCTCTTCGGGATGATATAAATAAATGATGTTTGTACAGCTGAATTCTCGCGATGTGCTAGTGCATGCTAGTGAAGTCGTTTAACAATAATCTGAGGTCCGAGTGAGTTTCTCCAGTTGGGGTGCTCGCGTTGCCTGGTCTATCGATCTAGGCACGGCGTTGTCGATCGGCGTCGGCCGACAGCGTAGCGGACTTCGCTGTTTCTAGTCTGTGTGTTTTCAATCGCCGGGTAGCTGCTTTAGTGGTTCTAAAGCCCAGATCCAGGCATGGTCTGGTAACTGTGAGGGCGTTTGAGTTTTAATAAATTAAAATCCGGTCCAGAATATTTTAAATAAACCAATTATTTAATTCGCTACTCATGTTCTGACTTGGTAATTATCTGATCCCACACACACACACAAACAAACAAACCAAAATATGCATGACCTTGTTTGTGAATTTTTGGGACGTTTTTGAGAAGATCTTATTCATGAGCTACTGCAAGCTATGGCATACACTACAATGGTTTTTTTACACATTCTATTTATGGCATATACCACAATGGGTTTTTTACACATTCTATTGATGCATTGATTTTGGTTTTTGTAGATAGTTTGCTGAAACTCACTTGTTTGTATTTGTTTATTTGTGTACTGATGATATTGATTTCTTGTTCATAAAATTCTTTATTTTTGGTTTCTTTTAAATAATCAATTATCACATGGAATGGCTTGAGGAATAAATTGTTTTAAATTTTTTACTTTCAGTATTGTTTATAACAAATCTTTGATATTGTCTTTCAATCCATATCAAAATTGATTGATAAGGCCTTTGTCATTTCAATATTTGTCTTAAATAAGGTATTAGAATTAATTAGCATAAATGTTGGTTGACCGTGATCCTTATCATAAAAATAAGAGCTTAGTCTTTGCTATTCTTTTTATTATTATTATTTTTTAATATGACCGTGAATACTTTTAGGAATGATTTCAAATCATAAAAGAGTTGTGAATCTTTTTCCATTAAAGGTACAAATCAAATGAGAGCTCTTCTTAATAGAAGTGCACCTATAAACCCAACTCAAGTAAATCCATTAAGATATAGGAAAGAATGCAACCTTAAGTAGAGCTTGAGCTGTTGCAAAAATATTCAAAATTTTGATCTTGTTTCGTCAATTTTTTGAGGCATACTAATCCTTGTTCTTAATGCACTTGTAAAAGTAAAACTTTCTTGGATTTGGTTGTGAAGTTAATCTACTTACTTCCTTCAACTTCATAATTTCTTGAAACAGATTTTGAATTTTTTCCATAGGCATAGGATTAATATTTCCTTGGTTGGTACTAATAATGCATGAAATTTCCATCTTAAGAGTATTGAAAAGTTTGTAAAGATCTACAATAGTTGCAAATCTATTTTCACTTTTGTCAAGTATAACATCTATAATTTTTTATTCTATTTCAAAAAACTTGACAAACTTACAAGTTAAATTAGAGGAAGATAATCTATAACCTTTAATATCAAATAAAAATTTCTACAAAGAAAGATAATCTTCTCTATTTAAGAAAAAAATGAATGTTGAAAAGTAAATAATTTGTTTAAAAGTGGATAATCTTCAACCTTCAAAATTCAACAATAGAAGTGAGATAATTCATTCACTTCTAAAATAAGACAAAAATAATGAGTTAGAACTCTTATCAAACTATCAAGGATATAAACTTCAAAGAACTAAAATATCAATACACTCTTGTGTTACTCAAAAAGACTAAAAAATCACTGAAAGATGATATTATATTATATTAGAATGACTATTGTTAAAGACAAAAAGACTAGAAAGTCTTAAAATAAGACCAAAGAATAGAAAGGCATTGATAAGAGTGAAAAAGGCTTCACTCTTGCTTCCATATATATTCTTAACTAAGAGCTATATAACAATATCTTTTAGGACCTTCAAAACATGTTGACTTTGTAAAATATATATTTTAATTTGCAAGGTAAGTTTTCTATATGAGTGCTTTATAGTTAGCTTGTTTTGCAAGCTACCAATATATGCTTATGTTTTTGACCAAGTTTCTAACTTAATAATCAATTATATGTAAAGTCAACATATGTAAAGTTGACACATATAAAGCCAATACATGTAAAGTCAATGGAGCATCTATAAAGCTTTTAAAAAAATTATCTAAAAAATATTATGAAATAAATCTACTTTTATGTATTTCTATTTAATTATGTAGGAAAATATTAGAATAAATATGTACATTTGTGACAAGAAGTAGTACAAAGATAAAATTATTTTAGCTTCAAGAGAGTAATATATTATTGATCAAATACTATTTTTTTGGTCTTTGGAATAAAATATGATCTCTTTAGTAAAGCGTTTGATAGTCCTTGCTACTTTATTAGCCAATATATAATTATCTAAATTAAAATAAGATAATAATATATTCCAATAAATTTGGCTATAATTCAAAATCTGAGTTGATATGAAATATTTCAAATTTTTGTGATTTGTACATATAATTATAGGATATTTAAAGCCTTCCAACAAGTGATACTATTCTTTGAAAGAGTCTATAATTACAAAAAGTTCTTTATTGTGAATTTCGTAATTGATCTTTGCAATTAAAAACTTTTTAGAATAAAATAAAATTAAGTGGAGTTTTCTATTCTTTCCTATCTATGATAATATAGCTTCTAATACAAAGCCAGAAGTATCAGTTTTTAAATACAAGACCTTTGTGAAACCTAGATGTATTAATCTTAGAGCTATAATAAAAATTGCCTTCAAATCTTGAAAAACTTTTTGTACTTGAGGTCCTCATTTCAATTTGTCTTTGAATGTCAATTTAGTCAAAAGAGTAGCAAATTAAAAATAATTTTTTATAAATATACAATAGAAATAAGAAATTTTAAGGAAATATTATATATTCCATATTATTTTTGGAATTGTCGACTCTGTTATAGCTTGAATTTTCTTCAAGTCTATCAATAATTCTTCATTGAATATAATATATCCAAAAAAATTCTATTTTTAATTGATAGAATACATATTATTTTAATTAGACATATAATCTTATATCTCATAACTTTTGCAAGATTAATCTCATATGATATTCATGTTCTTCAAGAATCTTGGAATAGATTAAGATATTATTATGATAATAAATAATAAAATTATTTAAGAATTCTTAAAAAATATTATTCATGAAATGCTTCAATATAACTAGAGCTGTTATCAATCTAGAAGGCATGAAATTATATTCAAAATATCCATATCTTGTCTAAAAAAAGTTATATATTTCTCATTTTGTTCTGGGTTTTAAACCTTAAGTTGCGAGTTTAATCAACTAGATGGAACCAAATCTTCTGATACATTTTTTCCATAAGCCCATGTAATCCATTGACCAAAGCATCATTCTATTTGATCTACATCACCACCCCTCACATTAGTTGCTTGATACTACTTACTTTTTTGAACCACCTCAATATGCTATATATAAATATGGAGTATGCTATATGCAAACATGGAGTATTTCAACAAAGGATAAAATTGAGTTAATTCTACTCATTGTTTTTGACTTATCAATATATTAATTAGTCTAGTTAGGACATTCTTCCAATAATGCATACCACATATGTTGCCAATGGTTGTAGGATTTGATATTGTGATGTGCTCAGTTTGAGGTATGAGCATTTGGAGGATATGGCTTCACCATTGCCAAGCTTTCTTCATAGATTTGTACTTCCAGAATCTGTATATGATTGTTTCTTATATCTTTGTTAAATACACTTAGCAACATTATTTTATTTCCTACTCTACTATCCCTAGCCATTCATTTATCACTGTTGCATAATACTGTGCTAGTCATATAAGTCCTATTTCTTTTAATATGTGCTCTTTATCCCAAAAATTTAACTATTTTATTTTGAATATTGAATATAATACTCTATTTTATTTTTAGACTATAATATTTTATATCACATGTTACTATTGTAGTAGATTGTGGCCTCATTTGGTAGTGTAGGTTACGAGAAAGATTTGTCTTGTCTAGTGGAACCTCTATAGATTTCATATCAATATATTTATTCTTTGAGTTAGCTTCAAGTTGATTCTAGAAGTGTAAGACTTATTTTCAGAGGGTTTGAAATGACTTTGCAATTGTTGTTCAAAGTTAAGATTTGTATTGGTGATTTGGAATTTATATAAAATAATTAGAACTAGCAGTCTCAGCTAATTCGAGCAATTGGGATGACATCTATTATTCAAAATTCGATAATGCTTAGTTAATTAGATGTGCTAAGTGTGTGTAAAATTTTGTATTAATCTAATGGTACATTTGGAAGATATCTAGGTTTTTCTATAAGAAGGTATTAGAAGTTGGCAATTTGGAGTTGAATAGGGCTTCTATGATATCTAAAGATCTACAAGTTGGATCAGGGTGAAATATGGCATGGTAGTAGAAGACTTCAAGATCAAGGTACTTACCAATTTTGAGTTGGAGTTAATAATTGGAGAAGGAAAAATTGCTATTGAAACATTTGCATCAACTTTCAAGTTAGCAGTCAAATAATATCAGTGCACTTTTTAGGCTTTTTCTCACAATTTGTAAGTTGGATTGGATTGAATTTTTTTTGAGCATATAGAAGACTTACAGTGACATTGGTATGCTAAATTTTTACTAAATAGATAATTAAATTAGAAGTTATAGTTTGCTAAAATTTTCTAATTAAAATTAGGGCTTCCAAGGAGAAATCAAAATTATCTAATTATAAAAGTAATAATTCAATTGGAATTTGTGTATGCTTGAGGTTAATAAGAAAAGTGTTTTTGAGCACTTTGTATTAGCTTTAAGCTCTTTTGAATTGAAATTCGAATTACTTTGTATTTAAATGATTGAAACCTATTAGAGTTTCTTATATATTTATAAAATATAACTTCATCTTCTACAGCCAAGTGCCCTATGCATTCCCAAACAAGAAAATATGTATTATAATAATGTATTGGTACACCTACTAGAGATTTGAAATGCCAAATAAAGCTTTTGCAAGATTGCTATCAATGTAATCATTTAATGTCAAAAACTTGTCTTATAATAGGTTATAAATTGGACCAAATAGTGGTTGAGACATTTTTTAAAGATTAACAATACAACCATATGGTTGATGCTCTAGTAATATGTGAGCATTTTTATTTTTGAAGACATCTTGAAATTCCTTATACTACTTTGAGATAGCTACTAGCAAGCTTGCTTCTTCACAAGCTGGAGTTGTATAAATAACAAATAGCATTTTTTCTTAGCCATCTTCATGAAAGCCATGGCTTCAAAAAATAAAGGCTTTATTATTAATAACTTCTTAAAAGTTTTTGCCCAAAAG